GTATACAATACTGAGTCTTGAGGCCATATAGAATGCATCAAGTGAAAATTTTATTAGACATCAAAGTCAGAAACAGTTGTCGATTTTTTTATTTGCTAGGCAATCAAAGACATATTCCAGCTCAATTACTTACCTTGTTAGCGTCAAGAAGAGCAGTGCATATAGATTCAAGTTCAGATCTTTGAGAATCAAACTCCTCAATCTTTTTCCATTTCTTTTTCAAAGAATCTTCGGCTTCTTTCCTCTCAGCACATAACTTATTCAAACGCTGCACCTCAGACATTAATGTGTTTACACTTGCCCTTAATCCAGCAGCTTCTCTCTCCTTCATCCACACTTCCAACTAAAAACAAGGAAAACAGTTAGCATACACCCAACAAAGTCTAAAGCTTGCTAGAATAAATCTACAAGGCACCTATGGAACCAAGAGTGACAAACTTAAATGATTAAACCCATGTATCAGCACAGCTCTGTTCTCACAAACCAGGGGAAAAAAAAAAAAAAAAAAAAAAAAAAAAAACCCAGCTAGCCAGGAACAAAAGGTAAATTTAGAAGAGAAAATAGTATATAAAGAATTTTTGCTAAGCAGCTCGATTATCAATGACACTTTCGACCTTCAAAACAAATTCTAACCCACAAACCTACAAGGCTATTTTAATGCAAAATTAAACACCTGAAGCATATTATATGACAACCGATAGTGATCCAATGAATTAGCAGACTTGAAAATTTTTGCAAACTGTTTAACCAACTAAGGTTACCTGGAATTGCCTGAGACTCCCAACATTTTGTGACGCTCCTCCAACAATGGGCAGGTGAGAATTAACATCACTTCCATGCAGACGAATTAAAAGCTTCTCAGACATACTTCGAGCTTCTGCAGATTTATTTAAAGCATCCTCTGTAGCTATAAATTGTTGAACATGAGCTTTCTGCGATGATGAAAGAGAGAAACTCGTCAAGAAAGCAACTTACAAAAATCAAAGAGTTGAAATGTAAAACCATATAAACAATTAAAGAATCTGAATCTAACATATGTCGGTCACTAAATCACTCACTTCCAAAGAAAAAGGAGACTGACAAACATAATCAGCAAGACATCTACATATTCCAAATGCAAATAATGTGTTATGTGTCAAGGTAGAACCAAACCTGTCTTTCAAGAAGCTGATTTTCACTTCCCTTTGAAGGTAGATCTTCCCCAATCTTTCCATTACCATAAAGTTGATAACTTAATGGTGAGGTCATATCTGGGGATGAAGCGTCCATCACTCGGTTATTCTCATACTTATACCTGATCAATATGACCGAACTTACAATAAGTCTAGTGAGGATTACAAGATATGTAGATATACAATGCTTGTACCCAAGGCATCAAATAAACAGTACATTCCACACAGGCAAACGTGAGAATCACAAGACATAAAGACAGCAATATTAACATCACTTACCAATCAAAATAATCCATAGAGTAAAAAAATAAAAAATAAGTTGCCACTAAAGATAGTAAGGAAACATCACAAGTACCTGAGTGCTTCAGCATCTGCTCTAACATCAACTTTCTCAATTTCTCTACTAATGAGTGAATTCAACCGCTGAGTATATGCAGTAATAGCTTGAAGTAACAAAGGCGGACTTTTTAGGCAATTTCCAACAACAATACTAACTTCCTCAGGTATTTCACCATCAAAATCATAGCCCAACTTAGCAGCTTCTAGCTGAGGATTTGAGTGCACACCACTTCCTTCAAAAGCAGGAAAAGAGCTGCGTATTCTGTCAAGTGTATGTGATGCAAGAAACTCACATGCTTTTCTGATGTTCCTTTCGCGAGTAGTTTCAATAAGAATGACATCTTCAGCAGCTTTGGCTCCCTTGACAGTCGAGTAAACACCCTCTTTCTCACTGCTTGCATGCAGGGTACTAGCTACTTCAGTAGAGAGATCAACACTGGACCTCTGAGAATTCCTAGCCTGACTGACGTAATAACGAAGACGTTTATGATATTCAGCAAATATTTTTGCTGCTTCATCACATTGTTGATCATATGTCTCCAACATAACCTGCTTATGCCTGCATTATTTATAATAGATCATCAAAAATAACCCATATTAACAAATAAGTTTTACATTTTAATATGAAGTAACTCTCTTCAGGTTGTTGTATACAATGCCTCAGAGATGCCTCTTGGCAAGAACAGTTTAAGTACAAATGATTCACTCTCCATTCCCAACCTAAAGTACAAACCCGCAACACTCAATATGATATTTAGACAGTACCAAAATAAATAGTGTACTAGACAACACTCAACTAAAGTAACTAATGTCCAAACCTCTCCAATTATACCCACACATTATCCTCCTCCCACGTCCTAAAATTTAGATGATTCTATGTCATTCCCTCCATCCCATATTCAAGTTGTCCCAACTCATCATATACTACTTCCGTTTCATATTATTGGCAATTGGCAATATTTGCCAAAAATGGATGTTTCATATTATTTGCAACAAGTGTTTTCTTTCCTTTTTAAGTTATCATTTCTCTCCATCTCTCTCCTCATCACATCCATCTCTATCTTTCTCCATTTAACACCCACAAGAAAAATTTGTCTCGGAGTCCGTGCAACCCTCCAAAGTTGCAAATATAAGGAACAAAGGTAGTATAAGGTAAGATATAGTTAAACTAAATAATCATTACGATGGTTGTGTCCTTTCAACCTTCTCACCCACATTCATTTCAAATGAAGGTTATTATAGGATATCCAAGTATAGTCCTTTTCAAGAGATGTTACAGCTTTATTAAATTCCAAAGTAGTGTACAATACTATAATATCCAATACCTTCAACAGTAATTCTAATTACACTAAGAAACATGATGATAGGAATGCACTTCCTTTTGTGAAATATGACCTTGTGATGGTAATGCCAAGGCCATAGAGTGTAAATACAGCATTCTATCGAAACCAAAACCAATACCGTCGACATTAATTCGTTAAACATTGAAAAAGTATACACAAACCTACACATCCTAACATAAAAACTCACATCACACTACCAATGCCAACTCCAACAAGTCACAAATTAAAATAAGCATTGAACAAATGACTCCAATATAATCAGCTGCAAAGAGAAAGCAAGCTAAACCTGAGATTTCCACGATCATCGAGCATTCGCTTCCTCTCAGCCTCCTCCCTCGAAACCTCTAACATTTTAGCCTTCAACTCTTTCCTCTGCCTCCTAAGAATCTGCCTCAACCTCTCAACCTCCTTCTCGGCGGCATCTCTCTCCTGCAACGCCTCCAATCTCCCTCTCTCTTTCTCTCTTCTCTTCCCAACCTCCTTCCCCTTTCCACCACCATCACCTCCATGAACCTGAATATTCCTTCGAATCGTCTTCGCCGTCTTCTCCGATTTCACCCTCTGAAGCAAGAAACTCCACACCGGAATCATATTCCCTCTACAAACCTTCCTAATTGCATCCGCCGATGGGCCCACGCCGGCCCGAGTTGAGCCCGTATACGGGCCCGCATGTCTGTACCCCATCTCCTTCTGAAGCCACTCCAAAATCGCCTCTGGTTGAGCCGTCATTGCCGAGCTCGTCGAGCTCTGCATTTCGTAATAAATACACAAAACAAAAAACCCTAGAATTTCAAATCACGACGAAATCATCGGAATTTTTGGGGATCGTATTACCAGTAATTCCAATTGAAAAAAGGGGATTGAAGCTAAAACCCTAGAACAGATCTAATGAATGCAAATGTCGAATCAATCGGTTAAATTTGTAAGAATTGGTGAAGAATTTAAGAAAATTGGAAGTAGATTTGAATGATAGTGTGAGTATTAGAGGAGAGAAGGAAGAGGAGTGAGAGAGTGGATGTTTTGTCTGAGTTTGAAAAAAAAAACATGGAATTTCAAGAAATTGAATAAAAATGGAGTTTTCTTTCTTATTTTTGAAATGGGAGGTCCCGCTATTGGTACAAAGGTCTTGTTAATTGTAGCGTAGAATTACAGTTTTAATTTCGTTGAGCGAGTTGATTAAGCTGCGGACTGGATTGTTGATTAGAGCCGGTAAAAGGTCGTGTTGTGTTGTGTCATGTTTGGCTCGTGTCAATTTCGTGTTTTTCACAAAATCCATTGAAAACTATTCAAAATGTAGGATAATTGTATAATTTGGTCACTTTATCTAAACGGGCTGTGTTCGGGTTGGTTTCATGTCGTGTAGTGTCGACTTCATGTTTTCTCTTAGTAACTTCGTGTTCGTGTCGTGCCAGTTTTGATCCTATTGTCTTGACATATCAGATATTGCTTGCTCTATTGTTAATGATTAAAATTAGTCAGTTGATTTACGATTACATGAACAGCTACATGTTAGTGGCAAAAAAGATGAGCTTTTGAAAATTAGGAGCAATTTCAAAGGTATTTAAGACATTTTTAATAGGATAATAAGAAGTTTTGGCTAAAGAATGAGAGCAAAAATTTTATTGGCTTTGGTTGAGCTAATAAGTTAATCCTCAGCGTTGTCAAAAGTCATTCACACGATAGATTTTAGGAGGTGCCTAATTGATCCAATCTTTGAAAAAAGTTTAAGATTTGATTGTTTTTGTTGTCATGCTTGAGGGTTTGAATATGTGTTTCATCTCCTCATGTAAGTGCCACTTTATGGTATTATATCGAGACCGAGATCTGAATATGCCAGTTTAATCGGCAGATTCAGATCCGATTTTAGGTCTTGACCAATTTTTAACACCCCTGGATGAAATCATACTCTTATACAACATACAATTTTCACTATACAACTATATAACCGATTTGTCGCAATATTATTGTAACGAGTCGTTCTTAATCCATTCAAAGGAGTAACCTTTTGCCCTCTACCATCCACCCTCTTTCCCTTTGTCCTCCTTTTTTCTTCCCACTATCAAAACAAATTATGAAACATTGAAACACAAGTTGCACTTTTATACTCTACTTTTTAAAATCACTCCATACCAAATTGGCACAACAATCATCAGTATTTGCACTTTTTTTAATCCTAAAACTTAAAATGAAATTAAAAAATTCGCCGTATAAAATATTCTAAATTTTTCCGACATTAGACGTGACAGGTTAAGATTAATCCATAACAAATTAACAAAAAACACAATTAAAAAATACGAATTAAAAAATTTTAAAAAATATAAAAACCTTCGTTAAATAATAAAGTTAGTCAGTGCGTCTTCTTTCTTCCATCCACCCACCACCCTCTTCAAGGTCGCTTTAATTTTGCGCAAAAATCAAACCTTAAATTTTTCCAATTTTTCCCCAAATTTTCTCCCCTATTTTTACTCCGAAAAATCATAAACCGTCTTTTTTCTTTTCTCCTTCCGAATGCAGAATCATGAGTTTTTGATTTGGGTTTTCTAGATTTTTCCCGGGTATCTCTTTGCCTCATTTTCCAAGGTACCTTTTTTATATTAATTTTTTCGTTGATTTGTTGGATTAAATTTGATATTGTTGCTGAATTACTAAACTGTGAGTTGGTGATCATATATTTGCATGATTATCTGAATTGGGTATTTTCAATTTTGTTGATTTTTTGATGGATCATTTCTTTCTGTTCCGCAATTTCGACGCTTTTTCCATGTTCTTCCATTTTTTTAGCTGTTGTGGATTCTGGGTTTCTGGGATATACTCCAATTATCACTGATTTTTGTTGCCTTTTTATTAAATAATTATTTTTGCATGTTTTTATTTTTTTTTTTTAAAATTTTGTTTTTTGGGTGAGGTTTATGATGATGCAATTGATGTTTGAGTGAATAAAAGTGCCATGAAAATTTGAGAAACTAATTTACAAGATGAATTTTTTAATTTTTTATGTACGGTATAATTTAAATTCATGACTGTGAGAAATTAAACCATGCTGACTGACTATTTTTACTTGGAAACAAGGTTTGAACAATTCTAGTAATCCAGTTTCTGCTGCATTGACTCTCTTTTTTGGGTCACCAAATTCTAGTAATCTAGTTGAATTTTTGTCGGTGGGGGTTTGTCTGAAAGGAATGAGGTTTGATTGCATTAAGAATAGTCTCACTTAATTAAGCACCTGCCTTTTCGGGTCCAAACTGTAGTGATCTTTGATAATGCAACATGGTGTTATTGTTACAACCTTTGATTGTGCATGAGTAGTGTTATGAATCACGTTTTGGGTTGATTCCATTTTCAGGTTAAGGAATTCAGTATTCTGTTACTCGGAAATCGCAAGGAGAGAGGGTACTAGTTCGTGGAGTTAGCGAACTTCTACGGACTGAGCGCCTTTCTCATTATTTACTTGCCAGTTTCATTCCTTAACTGCTGTATGGGATACTCATGTCCTTGGAGATATTGAGGAGCAGTTTTGATAAATGTTAATGAAGCAGTGGGGTTTTAGTGATACAAACTTTGGTGTATGAGTGAGACGTTGGCTGGAATTATGGGTTCTTTATGTTCTTGCTTTCGCATGGAGGATATCGAAGACTACGTGAACAGAAATAGTTCCGTTTACCGGAACTGTATCTGTCTCAGTTGTTTCCTTCAAAATTTCTTCCATATGGTATGTTGTTTACTTGTTGCTTGTACTCTTTCATATATCCAAATACTAAATTAGGAGGGATCTATTGATCTCTTAGTGTTATGTGTACTATGATATTTTTTTTTTACTCTATATCCCTCAAGTCATCTCTCTCTTAAGGGATGGAAGGAGTTTTGACTTTTGATAGAGGTGCTAGCTTGCTTGTTATTCTTCACAACAACAATAAAGCCTTAGTCCCAAAATGATTTGGGGTCGGCTAACATGAATCGTCATAAGGAATCGTATGATACAAAGAAAAGGACATAACAAAATAATCATTTGAAAGAGTTTCTCTGCTTGTTATTCTTCACGGCAGAAAAAGTTGTTTTTGAGTTGTGTCTGACCATTTTTTTTATTCTATTATTTGGTTGGATAAATTTATATTTCTATTTTACATTCACCTTCTCTCTTTTTGTGTCACATTTGTGTCGCCCCTCCGCTAAAGTTCGATCATTTTCATTGCGTTGGCACAAATAAACACAATCTTTGTTCATTCTCCCATGCTTTTGTATGGTGGTTTTATGTTCTTTTGTGAATTATCTCCCTCGTCCCTCCCTATTGTTGACCATGAAGGCAGGACTTATCTGGCTGTTGCGGCCAAATCTATTGCTGTTCATCAACTTAAGGCTTCCTAATATGTAAGCTTTGAAGGTAATCAAAGGGTAAGTGGGAGACTTGAAATTTGTAGAGGAGTGGCTATTGAAAATCTGCTTTCATGTTGAGCAGTTTCTGCTTGTTTTTATTGCCCAAATCCACTTTCTCTGTCAGAACTTCTGGACTTTTAATGGTGATTCTTGGTAGTGATGAATGGGCTGTGATGATGGGGTCTGAGTTGGTACCCTTGGTGCAAAATTTTGACTTCTTCAACAGACATCCGAAATAGTAACAGGGGAAGAGGGGGATGGATCAGGTAAAAGCAAATTAGTGAACCCATTGATGGAAAAAGATTTTTATGATGACGCATCAAGGGATTAAAGTGGTAGTATTGGAATTTTGGAATACATATCGATGTAATGGTGTATTGATTCTGCATATGAACTTCCTTGTGATTGATTTGCAGGTCTTGATTTTGAAATTTGCATTAAAGATGTCTAGTGTATTGTTTGTCTTCGGCTGTCCTTTTCTCTCATGTATAGATAATTGGAGATATGGTTACGATTATTATATATGCTGAACTAAAGTTATCTTGAAGAGACCAGTATGTCTGAGCCTCTGAAGGGACTATGGTAAGTTGAGTTGGCAGTTTTTGCATGGTTTGAACAGACTTGGGCCAGTAGTTAGGAAGTAGGAGGAGAGATATGATTGTCAATAGTAACAGTGAGGAGGAATTGGACTATTGGATAATGCAGTGATAAGGTGTTGTAAGATTTGAGATCGTGATGAAACATTTTGGCAGGATTTACCATACCCAAGTATGGTCGGTCTGCTCCTAGATGGCTTGGGGGAAGGGGAATAATTTTTTATGGATCTGTTAAGAGGGCTATAATTTGTAGGTGTGTAAGTGTCTGGTTATACTTTCAAGCTTTCCCTGTTTATGGGCTTATTTTTTATTAGTCTGTGCACACCATGTATTTGTTTGCTGATTCTTTGCCTTCATTTAAGTAATTCTTTCATCTTACTGTGTCTGTAGTATTCTTCAGTATTTCGAAGGGGGGAAGTTCAATCCTTACCTTCATCCATCCAAGGGGCATCTTTGACTTCTGTGGTGTCAACAGACAACTCTCTTGCTGATATGTATCGCTCTCCTCCAAGGCCTTTGCCTTATGATGCAGATCCTAGATTTTATCGCATGCAGCGGGATGGGTTGTTCTCTAGACGGGAAAAGGGTTCCAGTCATTCACATGATGAATCAGAACCTCTGAGGAGAAGTGATATTGATGCTGATTCTGACCCTTTAAGTACAGGGGACAAGTGGAATGAGTCAGCTTGTGAAGACGGCACAAAAGAAGGTCGTAAATCATCTGTAAAGCTTTCATCAGCTAAATCAACGCAAGTAATGGGATATTTTTATTCCTCTTCCGAGGATGAAGATGTTTGTCCAACTTGTCTTGAAGGTAATTATATCCATTAATTTTTTTGATTCTGTGTAAGGCCATTATTTATGTGTTCTCAGTTGTCCATTTCTTAGGTATTGGTTTTCTTCTCTTTACACTTGTACATCTAAAGTGATTTCTTTGTGCCCCCAGAATCTTAAAAGTAGTTTACATCTTGTTAATGCAGAATACACCGAGGAGAATCCAAAGATAGTGACTAAGTGCTCCCATCATTTTCATCTGGGTTGCATTTATGAGTGGATGGAGCGAAGTGAGAACTGCCCCGTCTGTGGCAAGGTATCAATTTTCTCATCTCTGTGAGCTCTGCATTGATTTATCTTGTGGTCAGCGATGACTTACTCTGTGGGTTAGTGTTGTATGCAACGCTAGGGAATGTTAATGTATGTTCTGGGAAGACAGTTGGCTGCAAGGTTGTAGAAAGATTTAGTTTCATTGTCAATTGCACTATGACTTTCAATGCCCCACTCATTGCTGAAACTTCCCAGCCTTAATGATCTTGGCTTTTGTGTCTCATGCTTCTTATATTGAGAACTTCATATTTAATAATTGTCTTGGGGAAAGAAGGTAGGGGTTAATACCTCTATTTTGGAAATGTTTGTGAATTATCTTTGTGGGGGTGTCGACTTTTATACGAAGTATGTTATAAGTTTTGTTTAGGTGTCAAAGTGAACCTTTTCTTGCTCTTCCGGTGAAATTCATTATTGCTCATGAGCTGTGACCTGGATTGCTCTTCGTATCTTGTACAGTGCGATCTTCCTTATTCCTCCTGATTAGGCAGAAAGTTAATTTTATGAAGTGAGACCAAAATAGGGTTAAGGTTTGCTATTATTGTTATCCCTGTTATATGATATTTTCCAAATGGAGTTAAGTTTTCCCTATTATTGTTATGCTTGTTTTATGATATGTTCCAAATTGAAATAGCTTATCAAACTATTTTTTCCATTGGATGATAATGGAACAAATTGAAATAGCTATCTTATCTATTGTGAAGTAGAGGGTTATTGCAGCTCGAATCAAAAGCCCATTTAATTTTTCCTCTCCTTACCCCCCCCAATGGTTGGAGCCTTGTTAGAGTACTAGGTAACTTTTGGTGTTATTGTATTGTTTTTTATGGTGGTCTTCTTCATCGTAATATAAATTGTTTATTGAAATTGGACAACTTGTTTGCTCATATCATGATATAAATTATAGGAATGAATTGCTCAGTCAACACACTCGTTTCCTTGTAAAATTTCTGCAGGTGATGGCCTTTGACGAGTCCCCTTGACTTTGTTCTGCCTCATGTAAGGAGCAGCTGAAGGCATAAAGGAGATAATTACAGAGGAAATCAAAAACTGTATAGTCGTTGTGAATATTGCGGGTTTGAGGAGGTGTTTATGTCAACTGTCAACAAGTACATAATAACCACAAGCACATTATCACATAGCATCTTGCCTTTCTTCTTTTGGCTCATTATTTAGTCATTTCTGGGTATAATTCTATATAATCATTGAGAAATGAATATTACGGGTTGGGTTCGTATATGAACCAAAGATTTGGCTAGTTGCTTGTAAAATTTCCACTTTTGGTTATGTATTGTTCGGAACTTGTGTAAAAGGCTTTGAGCCACTGATTACATGCAGTTGATATACATTATGGTTAAAATTTAAAATCAACTCTCTTGTTCTTTGAGTTATTTTTTATTGCTTACTTCTCCTTATTCCTTAGAAACCACTTGTAATGGATTGTTAGTTTTTAGAGTGCATCAGATCTATATTCAATTTTAAATAGCCTCTTTGTTATTAGTCTTATTACATGGGTTATGCTGTGTAGATCCAACCTTTGTCATTTGTGCCCTATCAAGGGATTCATGGAGTGAGCTTTGTGAAGGTATTGGGATTTGAATGTTTTATCTTTTATTCGTCATAAACTTTTGCGTGCACCCGATTTACAATCATATAAGTGTTCATCGAATTGTTTGAGGTATTTTTAAGCCAATTTGAAGTAATTTTTAACATAATTTAGCTAATATAATGTAAATATGCAATGAAATAAGTTTAATAAGAGAAAATCCAAGTTTATCACTGTGTAAACAAATTTGTTCATTACAAGGGCAAAAGTGCAAATTTTGCGGTAAAAATGGGTAAAGCCGCAATCCATAAAACGAACCGGTACTATACTTGAAGTAGCGGTTTTGCCATGTGATAAATGAAACTTATTTATCATGGAGATTAATCGGGGCAACCTTGTTTTATAAGTTTGATATATTTTATTCATTTTAAAGATAGCAACATTATCAATATAATATAATTGCAAGTCTTGTATGGACCCGGTCTACAATAAATTATTGTAGACCCAATATTTGACGCTCTCAAATAATATAGTCATATTCTAGATAGTATAATCACTTTTTTAGATGATGTAATTATCTTGTTGTGAGTCATATTTTGAATGATATAGTTGTATTTTAAACAATTTAGTTAGATGATATAATCATCTTTTGAATGATAAAATTATCTTTCGAATGATATAATTACTGTTTGATATTTTATTTTTTTTAATGATAAGTTGACTTTTTAAATGATACATTTACATAATCAGTTTCCGAATGATGTAATCACTTTTCAAATGATATAATAAATGGATAGGTGCACAATAAGTTATTGTGGACCCGGTTTATTCTAGACTTTGTAATATAATATAGGTAACTTAGATTTATAACAGGTAACTTTTATTTTTAGCGGGTAGCTTTTGATCATTTTATGACAACTTTACAATGGAGGAGGTACACCCGGTTATTTCAAATAGTCACTTCAGTTGATCATTTCATGTTGAGCAATTGCTCACCTTCAGGCTTCTGGGATATATCACTAGATCCAACCATGCTAAATGGCACCATTATTATATATCATAGTGATTACACAGTTTTTAGTTCATAATTTGCAAAAAGAAAATGTACAAATTCAAATACAGTGGATCAAATACTCGTACAAATGGTGTGTTTTAAGAATTCATGGCATTACTTAGTAGCAACTTGAAAGGCTCGAAGGAAGCCTTCCGGCGGCAGCCCACCACTGAACTTGTGCTTGCCATTGATCTGTTAGTTAAAAGGAAGAGAAAATGTTGAAAAAACCACATTGAAAAACTTGATCCTCCATCTCAAAGTTATGGAATACTCACCACATAGTAGGGAACACCACCAAGGTGTGCTGAATATTTTTCGAAATCTTCGTTCACCTTCAACATTTACAAAAAACAAGCTTAATTTTTCATCACATTTACGAATGCCATCCATTTTAGTAAAACTGAGAAAGATACCTCCTTCAGGCCATTGTTTGGATCCTCAAGAAACTCGGCTGCTCCTTCTACACCAACCTTCTTAGCACATTCCACTAGGAACACCCTGTATCATCAAACCTCACACAGTTAACAGTTTATCTAAAAAGTCATAATCAATCACTTAAGAATCGAAGGAATTGAATACGTACCAATCACCTATATATTTTCTCCGTGTCATGTATCCGAGAAAAAGCTCCTCAACAAGATCGTGTTGCTTATCGAGTCCTTGCTTTCCTGCAAAATATATGAGCCTGTGGCTATCCAGAGTATTTCCCCTGCATTCGTTTATTTATTTATGTCCAGATGAAATTTTTAGCCAACTTCTTGACAAGTACATAATCTCAAGTTACAAAAGACGAATGATGTTGCCATCAACTTACGTTAACCCGTCCATGTTATAGTTCAGGCCAAGGCTCTTATATGCCTGAAGTTTATACTCATACAAACAAGTTAGTACAGCAAAAATATTACTCCGTATTGACCGTATCATATAAGTGTGCTAAAATTGTGGGACGTAGATGAAGATATACCTGAACTGTGTGATCTATGATTTGCTCGTACTGAGAACCAAACTTCCTTTTATAGAAATTCCTCTTGTTCACACCTTCTTTCGGAGCAGAAGGCTCGAGGAAATACGGGTGCCAATGTATCTTAAGAGTACAGATAAATTCATAATAAATATATAGTGATCACAGACAAAAAATAAAAATGTGTTACATCAAGAAATAAACGATGAAATTGGGATTATTATGTATAGAGAAAAAACCTCAAAATCGAATTGATCTTTTGATGCAGCAATAGCTTTATCTAGATTAATTTTGCCCACATAGCACCACGGACATAGATTATCTGAACTGATATCGATTCGAACTAGCTTTTTTGTTGAATTGCTAGCAGACTGAGCCATGAATTTGAGGTTCACCTACCTGTAATACTATTACGTATATAGAGTTAATTTTGACCATAAACTTTATTGTCTTGGAACTACAAGAATTAAGCTTCTAATAGAATACTACCTTCGTTCCTATATAATTGTCACTACTTTTGACATGAATATTGATAGAATTAATTGAAAATATATAGTCAATTTTGCACACAAAATACTTATATTATATTATGTGATCGAGGATGACAATCAATAGTCAAAGTTTGATCACGAAAAGAAAAGGGACATTAAAATAATCTGATATTAAAGGTTAAAGAATTGAAATTACCAGTATTTTATCTGCAGAAGAAAGACGCAAAGTTTTGAGAATTGAAAAAATGGAATTTTGATCTCCAATGAATTTAGAGCGTTTGGTAAGGCGAGATTTGAGAGCATAAGAGAGAAAGACGTTATAGTTCTTCGGGAGGATCGTTGATCCCGCGGTCGTATTCTATCACCAACCACCAATCTACCATTATCTTTGGACTTTACCAACTTTGTCATCTATAGTTCTTCGCAATTCTTATATGTGGGTTGCCAGTCATTATGGATTTATGAGAATTACTTCGTTAGTGTTATAGGGGTTACTCGTCAGTGTTATAAGTGTTATTCGATCAATGTTATAGGGTTTTTTTTGTTCTTTTATAAGCAATCACATAATGTATTCAGCCGCACACAAATCGCAATGATATAAATGTTTTAGCACAACAAATTTAATTAGTTCTTCTTTGTCATTAATGCTAAAGAATGACTATTGTGATGTTTGCTTGAGTTTATAATCACCATAAAACAAGGTTAACATCTCTTGTGTGTGAACTTTTGAACAAGGGTTTGCATTTGATTTATACTTTTAAAGTTAGTTTAAAAAAATAATTTCTTTTGACACATTTCAGTTCCCTTTTGATTTTGGGAGCATTGGATGAATGGGAAACTCTCTCATCTGGAAGTTTAATGGATAAATTGCAATTGAACTCGTCACTGAATATATCATATATTACTGCATTCATATTTCATGTATACATCACGATTGGTCGATTGCTACTCAAAACACCAACAAAGAGACATTAAAATGAACTACTCCAAACAAATACTACCTTAATTACATAGAACACAATTCACACTCTTATTAAATATACCGTCTTTTTTGAGAAATCTATTTCCAAGCAAATAGTAGCAGCCTTAAACAGTACAGTACAAAGGGGAATTACTTTGCTGCGAGTTTGAACGCTCTTTGGAAAACCTCAGGTGGTTGTCCACCACTCAATTTTTGTTCGTTGTTGATCTGTCAAAGAGAAACCAAACCCTCGTCAATGATGCCAAGATAAGTACAAGACGCAGACTACAGTTTCTCAAGTACTCAATACTCACCACGAAGTACGGGACACCACTTATATCTGCAGAGTATTTCTCAAGCTCTTCCATCACCTTAAAAACAAGAAGTGAAGATAAAAAAAAAATATATATATATATATATATATATATATATATATATATATATATATATATATATATATATATATATATATATATATATATATATATATATATAAGATGATGAAACAAAAATGATTGTATTGTAGAACTCCAAAAGGTATGAGAGAGCTTGTCTTCAAGATATTACATTTTACGTAGGCTGCCTTATAGAATGAGATAAAGTAAAATTACATTTAACTCTGACTAAACAGCAGAGGTTAAATGAAGTGCAATTTTGGTGCCTTATATATATGTACCTTGAGTGTAGAAATGCAATTTATGACTGAAAACTATATAGTCTACTGATCACAAACTAATAAAAAGGAGGCTGTTCATCAGGATGCAACTAGTTTGTTGAGAAAAGGTGAGAAAGCAACAACAAACTAAGTCCTAACTCCTAACCCATTGAGGCAACACATATTTGATTTCCAAAATCCAAAGAAAGCTGTGATAGCTAGTCTAAAATTATGTCCCACGACAAAATGCTCAATCATGTACTTAGGGTACCTTACTAGCATGCTCAACAACATGAGACAAGTGGATACTATGAAAACTTTCTTAGGTGCATCCGGAGATTTGGAGTGATGAAACAGGATAATTCTGCTACGGAGTACTAATTGTTTCAATCAGCAATATAATTTGCAGAGCTATCAACCAGTGCTAACTGCTAAGAAATCTAAGGCAAGAGAAAAAGACATAAAAATAAGGGATGGAAGAGCGTATACCTCCTTGAGACCATTATTTGGGTCCTCTAGAAACTCAGCAGCACCTTCTACTTCAACCTTTTTACCAGACTCCACCAGGAATTCCCTGCAAGAGAACATCGAATAAAATGCAATAACTGAAAAGAAGAAAAAAGCCATAATGAATCCAACAAGACAGCCCTGCAATATTGAGTTTTAGCCACAGGTCAGTTATAAAGAGAACTCCCATTCTCTTGTGCTACATTAGTGTTTGATTTATAATGATTCTCGATATCTTAAATCTGTCAATCCTCCAGAAATATCACCCCCCATCCCTCCTTCCAAAAACAAAAAAAGACCCTTAGGGGAGGCTTCCTTAATTTTTTGAATATCCTTATCAGCTACGTACAAATCTCTAATAACTTACTTTGTATTTTCAAAGAGCCCAATCTTGCTTAGCTTCAGTCTTGTTAGGGCTTCTGCTTAAATTTGTTAAATCTCCAGATGGAGCAGTAAACCAACTTTTTTATACCAAAACCCTCTATCCAACCATCTATTTATGTAGCTACAGGACACATTGTTAGATATGTAACCAATTTTCTTGCAGAAGGATGGCAGTTAACAGTGAACATATTAGAGTCTCAAAACACGGTCAACACATGGAGATCAATACTTGATGACGGCAGTAAGGCACTCAATTTGTGCAATTTGGAAACATCACGCATGCATACAAAGTGAAGATAAAAAATGCTTCGAAAACAGACATACCGATCTCCTATGTACTTTGCCCTCGTGAAGTAGCCCAAGAATAGTTCCTCAACAAGATCATGTTGCTTGTCGAGCGCTTGCTGGCCAGCATAATATATAAGCCTGTGACTATCCAAAGTGTTTCCCCTACATATATAAATACCAAATGTTATGAACACCATGCTAAAATTATTTAGTAGAGTTGTAGATTATAAGCTTATATATGATAACTCCTTACGTAAGCCCATCAATGTTGTATTCCAAACCGAGCCCTCTGAATACCTGCAACACAAATCGGCATGTGAGTTAGTGCCAAATGCAACTATAAATTGTCTTAATGAAATAAAAAAAACAGCATAATAAAAATTCTGCCATACATCTGTCATTCGCGCTATTATCTGTTCAGATCGCGCACCAAACTTCTGTCTGTAAAAATCCCTCTTGTTCACACCCTCTTTTGGGGCAGAAGGATTGAGGAAGAAAGGGTGCCACCTGATCTGTAACACAAATTGATGACTTAAACAAGCACGAAATAGAAAACAAAATGCAGTATAAGCGATTTAAATAGAATTGGGGAAAGTCAGTAAAAGGGTTACAGGAAATGAACCTCAAAATCAAACTAATCTTTTGATGCAGAAATAGCTTTGTCTAAATTTCTTTTGCCTACAAAGCACCATGGGCAAACAGTGTCTGAACTGATATCAATTCTTATAAGCTTCTTCGCCGAAGCATTAGCAGCAGTCTCAGCAGCCATAAATCTACAGTTTATCTGCAGTTTTTTGAAACTTAATTCCAATATGAAATGCAACAGCTTCTTCCACAATTTCACGAAATATAATTCATTTTAACATTCCTATACACATAATCAATTTCAAAAGCAAGATAACATTAAGCAGAAATTAGGTAGCCAAAAGAATAAGCAATTTAACCATGTATTGCAAGTATAAGGTAAATTGATCAAGATAGCAGATCAAATTTATCCCAATTCGTAAGTTCATAAACCCAAACCCCCCCCAGGAAAAAAAAATCCATAATTCTTTCTAATTCATAATTATAAAAGGAAAAGATCAGAACTTTGATTGAATTAAAGCAAAAAATCATGAATATTTCAAAAGATAATAAAGCAAGCTCATTTTAGCTTAGAATTCACCGTAATTCCAGTCAATAAAGAGAAAGAGAGATAGAGAGAGAAAAAATTACCGGTATAATCTTTAGAAATGTTGTTTTTTTGTTCAGACAATGGTGAGGAAACTGGAAACGTTTGGAGTTGAAATTGGAGAAACTTCTCTGAAAATTGAGACCAATCATCGGGGTAAAGACATACTCCGTATTGTTTTTTCGCACGAAAGAAAGTCAATTATCACGAATTACTATATTAGTGTCCGTGCGAGGCACATATTAATAATCATTTTTTCATAATTAATTGTGATATAATATAAAAATGAGTAAGTCACGTGGAATAAAAAATGCAATGCATATTGAAAAGTAAAATAATAACGTAAAAATTATTAAAACTACAATTGAGAAAAAAATAATTTATTGTTGATTGATTGTGTTGAAAATATTTAAAAGTAATATACATTATATTTTAATAATGCATATTATTCCCAATAAAACTATAAAATCTAGAGACTATATGACTAAACACTTATTTATTAATGTCTTTTAATAAATCTACAGTAAAACTATTAGTACAACATACATGTAAATATATAAATTACAAATAATATATCACCTTTATATCCAATAAAATAATTTCAATGGAAATAAATAGTACTCGGATCATTAAAGGCAATTATAATCAACAATTAGGCAATACTTGTTTGACACCGAGAGTTGTCGCTATATTCGATGTGTCTTTTACTATGCATCTTATTTATAATGTCGAATATAATAAATCTATCATCTCAATCACATGTTTCAGCAAAAGACAATATTTTTTTTTTTTTGTATTTTCTAAGATATTAATTTATTTAATTAGGTAATAACAAAAAATTGATTCTTCTTCTGCTTGAACGCCTTAATCCCATAAGTGGGGTCGGCTACATGAACCAACATGAGGACATCCAGGAGGTCACCCATCCTAGTACTACTCTCAATCATTGTGGCTCATGTCAAGCGATGTGACAAAGTTTTACACTGGTTGTCACTGGTCTACCGTAACCCTCCTCCTTTATAACAAAAAATTGATTGATATTCACATTTTTCTAGAATTAGACATATGATATTGTCGAACACAACATTTATTATATAGTCATATGTAATACACTAATACTCCATTAGTCAAAGAAACAAAATATTAGAGGTATTTGAAAAAAAAAACATAAAAATTAAAGTGACGTTTTTAAGTAATTTGATATCAATTATATGAATCAATTTTATTATCACTTTTAGGGCAAAATTTCAATAGACGGTAATGATAGTATCTTTTACCTGAACTAGTGGCTCACTTATACTATAATTAAAAAAGAATTAGAATAATATGTTAGGTAAATGTGTATGGAAGAATTAAGAACACGAAATAAAAAGAAATACATTTTATGTAAAGATAATATATAAGATTTGGAATATTATTATAGTTGTATTATACAAATTTCTAAAAATAAAAGATTTTTGCTAAAAGGGGGGGGAGTTTTGGAGGGAAAAAACGGCACCAAGAACCAAGAAGTGACACGTGTCATTCCGGGTGTCTATTTTAGTATTATGTTATTGATTATCACAAAGTATTACTAGTTTACTGCTATCATTTTACGGAACGTTATACCGAGTGGTCCCATTTATATTTTTTTCTCTAACTCTTTCAAACTTTTTATTTCTAACTTTACCTATTTAGACCCGATTTTTTTTTAGCTTTTGGGCAGAGCAGAGCAGGGGTTAGCAGAATAGAGCAGATTTCAGCAGAGCTAAGCAGAGCTTCCAACACTACAGAGTAGATTTCAGCAGAACAGAACAGTACAGAGCAGAGTAGAACAACTCAAAAGAACAGAGCCTTACTATTTCCGATTCGTAATAATCGTAACGGTAGGGAGTGCACATAGTTTAAGAAAAATTTAGAGTAGGCTTGTAAACTTTAATAAAATAATAGGAGTATAGTTAGATAGAGAAATAATAAAATATTAAAAAAAAAAAAAAAAAAAAAAAAAGTAGTGTAAGTGGGGTTTGAAGGAGAGATAAATACTCCCTCTGTTTTTTTTTTTTAAAATGCAACACTTCTCTTTTATGGGGTTAGTTGGAGAGATAATAAAGTAAAATAATAGTGAGTTCTTACCAAATAAGGAAGTGTTGCAATTACATTATGAAACGAACATAAAAGGAAAGTATTGTGATTATTATGAACGGGAGAAGAATATATTATTTTACTCTTTTGCCTAAAAATCCGCACATATCCCCATGGGGAACTAAAAAAACGGAGGGAATACTTATTTTTCACAAAAAAAAAATTACCGTATTTCTTATAATTTGACTCTAAATCATTTTTTTAGATGAAATACAACAACTCAAGTTTGTATCGATAATACCGTTCAAAAAAAAATTGTATGGATAATAGAGTGCAGTTTTATTTAGTTATTATTATCATTCTCCTATTCAAACTTTCTTAAAGGTTTGTCCTCTTAATTTTAACAATCATAAACTATTGGGTGCGGCACTCCGTACTCAATGTTTTGTGCGGCGGAGGAGATGATGATGATGATAAAGACGACAATGACGACAGGTTGATGACGACGATGACGATCGATGATGACAATGACGATCGAAAAATGGATCTTGCGGCAACAATGGTGTATTATTAATAAATTTGATGAAGATCATTGAAATAATTAGGAATTAAAACCCTAATTTTTCTAGAAGAGGTGCAAATTCGACAACACCACCACCGATCCACCCTAACCACTAGTAACCATCCAGAACCCACCTAAAAGCCACCATAAACGACCTTAATCTTACCAGAGACCAACCCCAATTACGCTTCAAAAGAAGGAGGTAGCGCGACTCAATTGAAGGGTTAGAAAGAAAGGGCGCGACTCCAATTGCAAATTCAAATATGATTGGTAGAAATTAGTGAAAGGGGCGGTAGTTGTGAGGGAGGAGGGAGAAATGGGTGGTGGTAGTGTGAAGGGAAGTGGTTGTGAGGAGGAAACAGAAAACAAGTGATGGTGGTGTTGGTGGTTTGAGAGGTGACTGGTGAGGAACAATTTGGACTTTGGGTTAGGGAATATTAATCAAGTGTGGGATCAAGGCCCAAAATCATATCAGCCAATAAAAGGAATCTGTCAGCCAACAAAAGATACATATCAGGCAACAAGCCAACAAAAGATACTTATCAGCCAACAAAAGGAATATATCAGCCCCAACAAATGAAGTATATAAGTCAACAAAAGGATAAAATCAGCAAACAAAAGCAATAGGTAAGCCAACAAAATGAAACATATAAGCTAACAATTAAAATATACATATCAGCCAACAAAATAAAGATATCAGCCAACTAAAGAAACATATTAGTCAACTGATGTCTGATAGCAGCCAACAAAAGGAACATATCAAAAAAAAAATAAAATATCAGCTAACAAAAGGAATATATTAGCAAACACAAAAACCATATTAGCCAACAAATGAAATATATCAGCCAAGTCTGCCGCACGTAATTATGCGTACGGCAATTCGCATCCAATATCTTCTCTTTAACATTAAATCTGCCTAAAATATAAGATGTACTTTCTAATTAAACTCCATAGCAAATGAGTGCCCAATGAAGTACTCTTTAGTCTTTAGACATATATGAAGTACATGTTTTGAAAATACGAAATAATCCATTGAAATATTGAAAGAAATTAGAAAGAACGTCACAAAGAAAAATATTGTAAATGAGACTCGATCTCAAGTTAAGTCTTAGGTATTCGTTGTAAGAATTAAACCAAGACAATATTGTAAATGAGACTCGATCTCAGGTCTAAATCTTAGATACCCATTGCAAGAATTAAAGCAACTACAATACTTGCCATAGACTCGATCTCAGGTCTAAGTCTTAGGTATCCGCTACAAGAATTAAACCAACCACAAAAAACTCGCCATCCAGAAATTCAGAAAAAAGGGTGTTTGTTTCTTGCCATATTCACGATCACCGACCACTTGCTAGATTCCCCAGGTAATCGGAACGCTATCTTTCAAATTCCCAATTCTCTCTCTCCTCGGAATCTTGCAACTGTTAAAAGCCACCTTCTTTCTCTCTCTTTTATCTAAAAAAACCTCATCATTTTGTTCGTTTCTTCTACGATTTGCTCTTTTTGATCACCCAGAAAAAATCCCTAATCCAACTAAAGTAATTTTCTACCTTTTTTTTTTTTTTTTTTTTTTTATTTTTTATTGGAAGCATTGCATTTTATTTGTCCTGCATTTCGAACTTCTTGCAAACTTTCAATATTTTTTTTGGTTTAATGTTGCTGATTAGTCGTGCGATGACAATTACTTTTCTACTGTTTGTTGTATTTTGATTGATGTATGAAGCTATAAAGACTGTAACTTTCGCAATTTTAGAGGATATACACAAAAATCAATCTTGCTAACAGTCTAATTTTGTGATGATAATGATTTATTTCAATTTCATTTTTAATTAATTGTGAAATTTGTGGCAATTAATTGATGGTTTTGCATAGAAATTTTGAGGTGTAATTGGGTATATTGCGTTGCAATTGATTTAGGGTTTGATTTGTCATTTGATTCAGAATAAGTATTGCAAAATTTCAACTTTAATCGAACTTTTAATATCGATTTGCAGTTTAATTTATAAAAGATGGAAATTGGTGAAATCCTTGGGGAGTCAAAACCTGTGTCTGTGCCAACAAAGAGTGCCATCTATGTTTGGGGTTACAACCAACGAGGGCAGACTGGGAGGAAGGAGAAGGACCAAAAGTTAAGGATTCCGAGGCAGCTGCCACCGGAGCTTTTCGGTTGTCCAGCTGGGATCAGTACTAGGTGGCTGGATGTTGCTTGTGGCCGGGAGCATACCGCCGCTGTGGCCTCTGATGGGTCGCTTTTTACTTGGGGTTCACATCTCTTACCTCAAATCCATCCTCCTGCAGTTTTGAACCTCTGTGTAACCTCATTATTCTTCCTATAAATTTCTATGCTGGGAATAGGATAACTATTAGCTTCATGTTAATTCTCTTTTCGATTGCACCTTCGTAGTTGATACTAAATAGAGGATAGTTGATTGGGATTTTACATTATGCCTGAGTGTTTGTGGTGAAATGGTGGGTAGTTTGATTTTGCCGCCGTGAAGAAGAAAGTAATATGATTACATTTTGTGGAAATGAAGTTTCATTGATTTGTTTATAAGTGAATGTGTTATGGCCTTATGGACATATTGACTGGGGAAATACCACCTCCTTTCCTTCTTTGCGGATTTTGCGTTCAGATTTCTGTAGTTTGTGCTATTTGGACTGTATTACTGCAGGGGCTGTGGTTTATGTACAGTGAGTCAGTGATATTCACTTGTAGTTTAATATTAAGAAAACTAAAAATGAAAAACTGACTAGTCCTTGAAAACTTGATTATGATTGAAGTTTGATATTCTTGAGTGCTTCTTCACTTTAATTATCTATTTGGTGACATTATTCTAAGCCATGCATTCAGTTGTTTCGTTTGGTCTGATTACTATGCACATCCGTTTCCATATTTTATCACTTCTCAATTGACTGGTGGTTGAGAGCTTATGAAAAATTATTTTGACTTTTTGTTGTCCGCTCTTCATGTAGTAGTATTAGACATTGTTGCTTCTGATGTCTATTGCCCATGCTATAATTGGTCTTTGATTATTATGTTTTACTATCTTTGGCAGGAGCAAATGACTTTGGGCAGTTGGGAGATGGAACTGAAGAAAGTAGGAAATACCCGAAGAAAGTAGACCTATTAGATACTGAATATGTGAAATCTGTTTCTTGTGGAGCGAACTGTACAGCTGCTATAGCAGAGCCTCGTAAAAATGATGGGACTATATCAACTGGGAGACTATGGGTGTGGGGCCAAAATCAGGTGACGCAATTCCCTTCTTTTCTTGCAGTTAATCACTTCATTTTTTTGCTCCAATATTTTAAAGCTCTTTTTCTTTCATTACTTCAGGGCTCAAATTATCCTCGTCTATTTTGGGGATCCTTTGCACCAAACACTGTAAGTCTTGTATACTGCCATGTCAGCATTCTGATTGCTTGAGTGACTAGAGATATGAAAATTATGTGACTTGTATAAATAATTGCTAAAGTGGCTCGAGTGCAACTTTCATTATGATGTTTATATGTCCAATTCTCAAGATTAATGGACAATTCACTGTATGCATCACCTTCATGGGGAAGGGCTCTATGGATAATGCAATAAGACTAGTATCTGCCTATCTGGAGGAAGAAGATAAATTAGTTCGTTAGAAGAGGAATGTTATATATAGAGCTCATTAGGGATTAGGACGTACGATGAATATTTATGAGAAGTTTAGGGAGACAGGATGTACGATGAATATTGATGAGAAGGTTTATCTTAAAACTGAAAATGTCCATCCACTTAATCTGGGATCGTATGCTCTATCTGGTAATTTATCGCATCGAATTCTATCTACTATCAATCCTTCCCTAAAAATTTTCTTCCTAATTTATATTTTTTTCTGTTTATTCATTTCATAACAAATTGGTACCAGACCAAACTGTTCTGGTAGATTTGTTTGCTCTATAGATTTTGTGTTGATCCATATTTGAGCAGCTGTGTGTATGTGTATGTGTTTGTGCGTGTGTCGCATAGCCTATGCTGTAGCTATTGTTATCCTGCTGTTATTAGCGCAGCTTGCAAGTAATTGGTACGCAGTTGTTTCCTTGTGCTTGTTAGTCTGTGCAATTTGCTTACTATTCCACATGCCAATGTGTGATTGTGTACAGGTTATCCGTCAAGTTTCCTGTGGATCTGTTCATGTAGTGGCCTTGTCGGAGGATGGTCTTCTCCAATCTTGGGGTAATGTTGTGTCTTACTTGTGACATCACTTTTCTCTTAAACTTGCTCTTGTCTCTTCCATTCAGATTGTTTTTTTTTATTAAGGTGGTGGGGCCATGGGAGGGAGGAGGGGGTGGGGGCGGGGGCTTACCGTAATGGGGTTTTCATAATATACTTCGTATAATGTGGGCTGTACTAACTAGGATGTAATTGATCTTCTGCTAGGATACAATGAATACAGTCAACTTGGCAGAGGATTTACCTGTGAAGGATTGCAAGGGCCAGGTATTGTGAAAGCATATGCAAAACACCTAGATGAAGCCCCTGAGCGAGTGAAAATAATTCAAGTGTCATGCGGGGAGTACCATACTGCTGCTGTATCTGAGACTGGTGACGTGTAAGTGATCTAAAAGTACCTTCTTGTCCTTCAATGACAGTTGTATTTTTAGCTCTCCCCTTGCCAAGCTCAAGGTTGATATTTACCGAAAAAGGATTTCCAAGACTCCCACTTAAAGTTTATTACTTAAACCCACATTTCCTTTTTGCATTATTTTCTGAAATTTGGACTCACATTAACGTACCTACTTCCCCTCCCTCCTAAATCCTTGCGTTTCAACTCAATGTCAGCATTGAGCTGGGATGAAATATGTGCTAGTGATGTTATTGCTCGCGTGGCACAAGTAAACAACATTGACTCTTGTAAAAATATTATTTAGGGTCTATTATTCTATCCATGGTTAAACCCACATTTCCTTTTTGCATTATTTTCTGAAATTTGGACTCACATTAACGTACCTACTTCCCCTCCCTCCTAAATCCTTGCGTTTCAACTCAATGTCAGCATTGAGCTGGGATGAAATATGTGCTAGTGATGTTATTGCTCACGTGGCACAAGTAAACAACATTGACTCTTGTAAAAATATTATTTAGGGTCTATTATTCTATCCATGGTTAAATAGGCATGGCTGTATGGATATAATCCTGATATGAGTCTATCTCTGCTCTGGCAGGTATACTTGGGGTCTTGGCAACATGGGTCAACTAGGGCATTGCTCCCTGCAATCCGAAGATAAGGAATTAATACCCAGAAGAGTGGTTGCTCTTGATGGGATTTACATTACAAGTGTTGCATGTGGAGGTGTCCATACATGTGCAGTGACTGCAAAAGGAGCTCTCTATGCGTGGGGCGGTGGGCAAGTTGGTCAGCTTGGCCTTGGTCCACAAACTAGTTCAGCATCTTTTGTTTTCAAGGATTCTCTATTGATGCTTCGGAATATCCCGGCTTTGGTTATCCCAAGTGGGGTGCAGCTTGTTGCCTGTGGCCACTCTCACACACTTATCTCTACCTCAGATGGGAGAATTCATGGATGGGGATATAATAGCTATGGTCAGGCATCAAATGAGAAGTCTACGTATGCCTGGTACCCATCACCAGTTGATTGGTAAGAACCGACATTGATGCAATCTGGTGTGCGGAAAGTTTGTTATTTGACTGTATATGACTACAACTATAAACAACCACCATTTGTAGGTGTGTGGGAGAAGTTAAAAAGCTTGCCGCTGGTGGTGGTCACTCAGCTGTGTTGACTGATGCTTGTTCGTTGAAAGATTTATGTGAATTCAGGCTTGCTGAAAGTGTTACTCTGGCAAATGCTGCTCACATTGAGGATGTTGCATTCAGAACCAGCTCTGATGCTTTAGTACGCCTTTGTGGAAGATTGAGGTAATTTTCCTGCTCAGAATTTCTTAGGCTACTATTTTGAAGCTTGTATTTTATCTGAGACAATTTTTGTTTCATAGTCCTCTGCTTTTACAAAAATCTCCATTAGAGGCCACCATCATTTTTCATACTTCGTGGCCTTACTTTTGCCTTGTTCACCAACATAGGAGTATGAAATATGTTTTCAGTGTTAAAGTTCTTGGTTTGAGTTAAATTCCCTCCTAGATAATCAATATTCATATATGCGGAGTACATTTTTAGGATGTTCGGAAAAAGGGTGTTACTTTTTCTTTGAAAGTTTGGGTTTATGATTGAATTTTCTTACGCCACTGCCTAATTAAGTGACGAGGAGAGGATAGGCAACTGATTTCAAAAGAGTGGGGTGTGAATTATCGTCTGAGAAGCATAATGTTGACATCATTTCTGTGTGACCAGGGAGCTGCAATGTGCTGGTGGATGGGAATCGGAAGATGATGGGTCTGGTCTGATTAGACCTTGACGAAGAATTTGCTGCAAGAACCTGGCTTCCTTAGCATTTTAATATTTCATTGACTTGGGGAGATCGCTATTGGCTGACAGCTGCTGTCGCTATTAGGAAGGTTTCAGCTGTTCGATCTCTATTCCCCTGTAGGTTGTTTTATCTGTAAACCTGAAATAATGAACTGTTGTATTCATCAGCATTCAACAATTGTAATATCCTTACCCTGGTACTTATTGATACTGAACATTAATGTAATATGCTCCAAGTGCTCAGTATATGAATTGAATAATCTGGTCGATAAAATTATCTTTTCTAGTAACAAGAGCAGATTTAACGGAAAACCTGACAATTTACCTTTGTACCATAATTTGAAGGGAATTTATTTTGATAACAATCTTGTAATTCAATCATATTTTTTCCTCTAACCAAGTATGTGTCGATTTGCAAGAACATTGAAAAGTTAAGCTAGTTCAGAAACTATTTTTTTTCTAGAAACATAGTTCAGAAACTTTTTACTTCGTAATTTTTTATTTACTTATTATTTTTTATATGAAAAGGTAGATTGTAAAATGCAGGTGATTTAAATTGTTTACAGATACTGGCAAAGTGGCAAAAGTAGGAATGTAATTTGTGTTAACAGGCTAATAGCACAAAGGCTGCTAAATGTTTCAAGCAAATAATGTTGAGACTTTAACATGCTGCTCGTTAACCCTAAACCATATCAAGGTTGCAACTGAATTAAAAAGTATCGATGAAATACGAAAGCACTCCGTAGTACAGTTATTCAAGGTAAATCTTATATATCAGCTCATTGCCTATGCATTCAAACCTAAGTTTTAGTTGAGCACTGTCTATTTAGCTCATCATACTTCAGTCAAGGTTTATTTGATTCTATGTGGAATAATATTAGTTGTCGGAAAAAAAAAAAAAAAAAGAAGTGATTTACTACAATTTGTGCTTTAGAATCATGAAGATAGATTATTCTCCTGCAATGCGAGGTGGAACCTTTGTACACCAGAGATACATACATTCGAATAAACCAGATTACTATTTTACTAAAATACTCGTAATTTACTAGCTAAGCCGTGAATTTATAATAGGAAAATTTAACATAAACAGACAAACTTTTGGGCGGTTTTCCATATTGGACTAGCTTTTAAACCTGCCCATATTAGACACAAGTTTAACATTTTTCTCTCAAAATGAACCCAAATGATCAATGACCTATACAATTGGTCATTTTTTTAATTTTCTTTGAATTATTTTTCATTAATTAAAAACCTCTAATTATTTTTTCAAATTAAAAAAAAAATACAATTTAAGAAAACAAAAAAAAAACACTTTCCCCTGACCCCACTGCCAACCACCACTCCCCCTCCCCCTTCACCTCCCGTTTTTGACCATCTCCTCCCACTGCATTTTCCAACCACACTCCGCTCCCCATGAAACCCCTATACCGAAAAAAAAAAGTGAGAAATTGATGTAGAAAGAAAGAAGAATTGGAAGATTGAGAAATTAAGGGAAGATGGGATGATTTCGGAGGAAAGGTACGGTGGTGTTTATGGGGTGGTGTGGGGTAGCTTCGCGGTGTGGACGCGAGCTGGGTGGGGTGGAATTCGGATCTTGGTGGCGGTGGTGAGAGGATGGTTATGGCAGGTTTCGAGTATGGGTGTTTGGATGGTTTTGGTGGGTTGGTTGGTGGTTGGTATGGTGTTTTTCTGTGTTCGGTGGGTTGGAATGGTGGTTTCGATGTTTTTGGTGGGTTGGTATATGGTGGTTTGGTTGGTAGGTATGGTGATTTCGGTGGTTTTGGTTGTTGGTATGGTGGTTTCTGTGGTGGCTGCTACTGGTGGTGTACATAGGTGGTGTTGCAGTGGGTGGAAGTGGTGGTGGTGAAGGTTAAGGTGTAGGTGGCGATAATTCCGGCGACGTTGAAGGTCGCCAACGCCGAGGGAATTGGTTGGCTGCTGGTAGGGGAGGGGGCTGGCTGTGGTGGTAAGGGTGGTTTTGGTTGTTTTATTTATTTATTTATTTTTTTATTTTTGTAAAATTTATCAAAATTTAAAAATTAAAAAAAAAAAAAAAATTCACCAACGATTTAATGACAAGTGGAATTTTACTTGATATAATAGCAAAGGTAACCTGTTTGGGAGAAAAATGTTAAACTTGTGTCTAATATGGACAGGTTTAAAAGTTAGTCCAATATGGAGAACCACAAAAGTTTGTCTGTTTATGTTAAATTTTCCTATTATAAATTCACGGCTTAGCTAGTAAATTACGAGTATTTTAGTAAAATAGTAATCTGGTTTATTCGAATGTATGTATCTCTGGTGTACAAAGGTTCCACCTCGCATTGCAGGAGAATAATCTATCTTCATGATTCTAAAGCACAAATTGTAGTAAAACACTTCTTTTTCAGCATTTTTATCGGAGAACTGAAATCATAGAGCATTGAAGGATCGAAGGGATCAACGAACGAATAAAACATGTTATTAACCAACATGACTAAACATCCATGCCGGAATATTAGTGTTTGTTCTGGCTGGAACTTCAGCTTCCGGGTCCGCTTGCTCCTCTAATTCTCTCATCTCCTGATAAGCACCTCTGCATGATACATGGGGAAAAAAAAAATTTATTTGAAACCACCCAATTCAATGCATAAAAAAATTACTAAATAATGGACATAATCATATGACCTAATAAAATGCCCTTTTCAAGTACCTAATGAAGTAGGAAGTGAATTGCTACCAAAGAAACCCCTTATTTTTATTCATAGACAAGTATTTAGGTTGGTTGCGAAATGGTAAATTACATACAAGGCTAGAATACTCTCAAATAATGCTATAACTTTCCAAGCTAGCGAGCTTAAGTCCAAACATTTTGATCGATCTAAAATGGTTTTAACATCATTTGAGTGTTAAAATTAGGTGAGAATGCATAACCTAAACTCCGTATAAGTAACTCTATGATATGGTTGTTATCATTGGAAAGTTAAGATCTTTCGCGTGTACTAAGAGAAGAGTTGCTTACCCAATGGTGAGAGCAGGAAAGGGAAATGGTTTTGATGTTGGTAACAGGAAGAGTTGGCTAGGGTTTTGATCGTCTTTTTGTGGTTCCTCGACCCTCTTGTCATTCTCCTTCATCTATTTCATATTCAGATAAATACTAGTACAATATAAATGATCACGTACTACAAGAAAATCAAAGAAGAAAGTTTGTGTAATAAACAAAAATACCAGTTTGGATAATTGGTTATTTTGCTCCTGCATGGCTTTTTCCTGCCAAAAGTTTAAGCTAAGCTAGTTACTGAATGATAGAATTTGATACTGTCAATCAAAGAAAAAGGCATAAATTGGAAGATGTCGCGTACTTTTTTGTGGAGCTGAGAAATGGATTCATGCATCAGTTGATTCTGCAATTGAAGACAGTAGAGATATAAGACATAAAGAAGCAAGTTACATAGGATTTCCAAGATGAAAGGCATAAAGTTGATGAGTTGACAAAATTGTTAATGATATGTTCGGATTTAGTTGTCATAATACTAGTTTGATTAAACTTCAATATTGGTGTAACTTCTAAGGCAATATGTGTAAATGTAACTATACCTTCTTGCTTCTGATTCGCTTAAGAGCAATGTCGAGCTGTTGCTCCAGATGTTGGAGCTCCCTCAAGCTCAATGCATCAGTATCTTCTCCTACATAATGCCTGAAATACGCTCCAATAATAAATATTGTACATAAAAAAAAAAAAAAAAAAAAAAGAAGCACTGAGAGTAGATATATAATACAATTTCTGATAAGAATTCTGGTGCCATGAAGATAAAATTTGAAGTCATATGGAGTAATATCTCATTTATTATAGTCCTTAATGTAGATAAAATGCTAACAAAGACAAATTCTTTGGAAATGAGGGAGTAATAATGAATCATAGTAAATAAGCTAAATACTCTCTCTTCTTTTCTCAATGCGGGACACTTACATGTGTTGTTTGGGAAGTTTATACTTCAACAGTAATATTTCTATTAGCATACATATCTGAATTCTAATCAACCTCCCTCTATAAACACTTCAACAGCCATGATGGAAGGTTTTTGTGTACATAATACATATACATATATAATTCATGTCGGGAAGAGTCAATTCGAGTTCTTGTTCACCAAATAATACAACATATTCTACTCTACTGTCTACATACAATTAGGGTTCTTCTTTCTAGCTAGACCTTTGTAATTTATAGAGAGAATTAAACAATGTATAACAGTTTTATAAGATGAAAAAAGTATAATGCTCTAATATTTTGCCTAATACATAAAGGTGTTAGCTGTCTGAAGAACAGGAAGACACTTAATGTAGCTTATTACATATGAATAAACAAGTTCCTCAGTAAATAAGGAGAAGATAGATATGTAACAGTTTATACAATAACTAATACTTTGAAGTACTGAAGTAGTTATGTAACTTGTATAAAGCGAGGAAGAGATGTCAGGATGTATGCCAAATGATGCAGGTTCCAGATTATATTTATAACACAAAGAAACAATTATATGATAGCAACTCGTTTAATTAATCAACAAATTTTATGTGTGATAATGAAAGCGAAGTCATCATTTCTAGCTACTCACATAAAATTGCTAATAATGCAGGATAATAAAGGAAGATATTTGTATTCATTACCTCATGTTCCTTTGTAAGACTTCGAGTCTAGCAACGAGCTTTGGGTATTCCATAGCCCAGGTTCCCTAATTAGAAGTAGAACATCCAAAGGTATTAAATAAAAAGAGGTCAGAAATTTCATTCAGCTATGTAGGGGAGGATGCTTAACACCTTTACTTACACTAACAACATAGTGTATGTAGTAGCTTTGTTTAACGATGACCTAAAAATGACATCATCTATGCAATTATATAAAATTCTGATACATAAACATGAATTATATATTCATTTCAGCTTGATTACGCGTGGTGAGAATTATGAGAATCGATTCCAGGACAAAGATCCCAGTGCTGACCTAACACTTACCTCTAGATCAATTCACTCAAAGTTCATGTGTGCTGCCATTTCTTAAAAAATTTATAATTTTTGTAGAAAGAAGCTACTGTATGTTTTACACTTTTACATGTACACTTTGAATACATATATTACCTACACATAATGAATTAATAATCGATTAATCGAAATAATTCAGTAATATTATAGTACAAAGGCTATATATATTCAACTAATTGTATGAATAATGTAAATCAAATGTTGAAAGGTCATGTCATAGAAGGTAAATGTAACCCTTCAGTGTAGTGTAAAGTCACATAATTAGGAAAGATTATGGTATAAAACATGTAATTAAGGATTAACAAGAACATTCGTCGTACTAATCCAGTATAATATACCTCTTGTTGGGACTCTGAATCAGTAGCAAGAAGCTGTCTCTCTGCATAACAGTACCTCTCATACCTTTCCAGGATTCTTTCCATGCTGCTGCCAAAAACAATAAGATGTTTGTTTAATTTTATTAATTAAACTACATTTACAATCAAGGAATTAATCAGAAATGCTTAATATAACATGAAATATATGTGTTACTATATATTATAAAGAGACATATCATTTTCTATTGTTAGATTATGCTATAGTTTCATGATTAAAAAGGTTTTATAATCATTAGTGAATGTAACACTAACTAAACTCCGGATATATGTCTAATTATAGTACATAGTGGCCCCTTAATGCTAGTATTATTTCTTTTTTGCACTGATTAGTGATTACTTAAGCACACTTATCATAAAGGTCATCATCAATGGGACCCAAAGAAACCCTATAATTAGAAAATTGATCAATCAAAACTACTTCCGCTTTTTTGAATGATCTTTAATTTCATGCGTGTAACTTTGTAAGGATAAAAAGACCATAAAAAAAACTTCATTATAGTTGCAATAAGCCAATAACGTACTAGACATAGAAGGTCTACAGCCAAGACTTTGACCGATGAAGCTAGTTGACATTCATAGAGATACATAACTTATTGTATATAATTGATATGCGGTGAGCCCTTCGGAGTTGTGAAACGATAAGTTTGCGTCTAATTTTACAAGAAATAATAATATAGGTGTTCCTCGATGTATTTTGTCATTTCCAAGTGTGATAATTTATGAAGAAAAACAATTTGTACGAATATAGTTGCATAAAAAACACTAACTGAAATAAAGTGGAGTGTGGACGTTTAATGGTTGTATGCAGTAACGTACTAACGTAGTCTTAATTATTCATACAATTGCATATATAGAGAAGGCTAGAGTTTGATTATACGGTGTATAAGAAGTTAGCGAAAGATAGTATACTAAACTTGTTATGAAATACTTGATCTTGGACAAAATGGAAGTGGTATGTACTAATTGCAAAAGAGCAATTCAGTATGGAGAGATAATTTAGACTCTAAAGTCGGTCTTATTTCAATTGTTTCATACTAAAAAAAAAGGATCAAATTCAATCTAAACGTAGTTCAATAAAAAAAAAATATAGTATAATTAGATTTTAGAAAATTTAGTTCAGGTGAGTAGCAATTAAGTTAGAATTACAGTGCAGGACTTGTCAATTTGAATTAGAGAGACCGAAAACAGCGTACGGGTGTGCAAACCAGGGTTTGGATATCCATTTGTATTACGGAGTACTTATTTATGTTGATCGACATATTTGGGCAACGATTTTTTTGCTATGTATCTGAAAATTTGATTAACTAAGTTGCCGGTATCTTTGATTCAGTCTAATTTAGGAAATTGTTTGTTTTAAATTTTCAACCAGCAATGCTTTGAATCCCTCGCTTTATTTTCACTTCATGTTTAATACGGTGTAAGTCAAGTTCCAACATACATATAAGATAAGGGAAAATAAGTCAGATAAAATAGGACAAGAATTAAGATGTTAAAATAGATGAAAAAATATTACCCAAGTTACCAAGTAGACCACGAGTAGAGAGTTCAGTTTTTGTTTTCTATTCATTTTTAAAATAAAAAAAAAATTAAAAAAGAAAGAAAAAAAAGTACGGATTTAATTCCAACAGACCAAAACAATTAAGTCTCCGCTAATTCAATCGATGATTGGAGCTTGTCACTATCCAAGTAAATAAGCTAAAGAAAAGGACTAAACAAAACTCAAAATTTTGTTTAAATTAAGAACCACACAAAATATAAAGGGCTAAAAATTAAGATTAAGCAACAAAATTTTAACCTAGTTCTACAAGTTATGTACATGAATATAAAAGCCATATTTCATAACTAATAATATTAAACAATTAATTTGACCGGCTCTTCGATCAAAATATTTGATTAATGTAAAAAATTCATTCCCCAAGGTAAAATTACTCCTAGCTTTATTATCTCACTTATAACAATGCCGATCAGCAGCCCTTTTCATATAACACATGATGATATATAGAGTGACCCTAACCCTAAGTTTCATCAAAATATAACTTCAATTATATGATAAAATAAAATTATTAAAATAAATAAAAAGTACTAGGTTTTAAAGGAGTGGCAAAGTTGGGAAGAGCCCCATAAAAACCCACACAAAGCTCAAGATCACAAGGCTTAGCCAAAGTTTTGGACACTAATTAGATTAAGTTTGGTCCGTTAGCCAAGATTAAACTTAAGAAGCACTACACAATATACTTTGATCCATAATATCTGACCACTTAACTAAACTTATTGTACTGTACTATATAATATAGCTCGTTACATTATTACTAGTAAAAAGTAATGGTGCACTAATACTTGTCGGTTTTAAATACCAATACTGAGATTTTTTTTTTTATTTTTTTAATTCTGATAAGTTAAAATTTTACAATCCCTACTTGACTAGCTTAAAACATTGAAGAGTTATTTTAAAGTCAATAGCTTTTGCTTAACCAATCAGAGATTTGTTATGTCCGTAAAATCTAGACAACTGGATAAAACCGATAGATAATGATCATGTCCACTGGATCAAGTAGTACTAGTATTGGTAATTTTATAATTATTTTATTGCACCCAAAAAATAACAATTATAGTAAAGATATCAATATTATTAATGTTGTTATTTTTACAGTACTTTAGTACCCAAAAAAAGAAGTAAAAATTAATAAAATTTCAAAATAATTAGGAATAAAGAGTAGTCAAATCCAATGCATAGCTCCAGCTTAAAATATAAGCTAAGATACATTTGATAGTTTGTTGTTAACATCAGATAACCAAACATCATTAGAACTTGACTGTAAATCACTTTTAATAAAAAAAAAAAAAAAAAAAAAAAAAAAAAAAAAAAAAAAACCAATCGTAACATAAGAATAGAAATTTAAATGAAAACAAGATTTTGAAAATGTTGTTCTTGACCAAAATGAGGGGAGAAAAAAAAGGAGAATGTTAACTTGTTAAGGTTCATGTACACAAAAGAGGAGGGAAGAAAAGAGACACAACGAACTTGAAATTGTACATAAAATTGACATCATTCGTGTCATATAGAGTTTGTTGATGATATTATATACGGAGCAAACTTCATCACTATTTGGGTCCCCGCCTAACTTGACTAAAGAGAGTAAAGTTATGTACATCTTGACATCTTTAATCTGTTACTAATCGATAAACAGAATTCATACTGGGTACCATATCGAAAATCTTATATTTACCACGCTGTATTCACACCACATTGATTCTCAAATCAAACATCATATCATTCATTTTTAAATTCATAAATAAATAAATAAAATTGATGCATGAAATTATAAGAAAATGAAGAAACAAACCTGGAGTCAGTACTAGCATACTCAAAGAGTTTGCCTTTAGTTGAAAATACAATCAAAGCAACTTCAGCATCACAAAGTACAGAGATCTCATGAGCTTTCTTCAACAACCCAGATCGCCTCTTTGAGAATGTCACTTGTCTACTAATCTTGTTTTCGATCCGCTTTAACTCTACTTTACCCCTTCCCATTTTCCCTTATTCGAGATTAATTTCTCCGACTTAATTAATTATATGTAACGACGACCACAAATTAAACTTGGTTGTACATTTTTTGATGTACAAATATTTATGTTGAAGACTAGTAAAACCCTTGTTTTTTTTGAAAAATAAAATAGAAGTAAGAAATTTAATTTTCAGTATAGGAGAGAGAAAATGAAGAAAAAGATAAGCCAATGAGAGAACATGGTTGGTTTCTATTTAAGAATGGAGGGAATGAAGTGGAAGTGAGTTTTTATTTGTAGGGAAGAATGAAAATGAAGGGAAGTGATAGAAAAACTTACCAAGGAAGGGTATGTTTGTTAAAGATAGTTTCTCAAGGAGAGGGAATTTATGGTAAAAGGGTAGTTTTGGGAAAACTAGGTTGTTTATGTTGTCGCTTTGGTATTGGTTGTTAACAAAATTATGGAGCATATATACAAGATTTACAAGGTACTAGTACTACTCTCTTTAGTTTTTTTAGATTTTATTTTGCCAAAATTGTCTATGCTATATTTACTTTTATGATTGTCTTCTACTCGTACTCACTGTCTTTGTTTTGTTCAATCTGTTGTGAATTTATATGAACTTATGTGGAATGCTATATGAATCGTCATTTTGAATATAGACTTTTTAAATGTATTTGAGATACTTATATTGATCGGAATAAACTTGTGTAGCTCGTATTTAATATTGTTAACTCTAATCTTAAAACAGGGTAGATTTTTTTGATAGCTTGTGGTTTTAAGATGAAAAGACCATAGTCAATTATTTGGTGCTTAAGGTCAAAATGATAATCAAAAGTCAAACTATTTACTCATTTTTTATGTATAAACTTTTTATCTAAGAAGATAAGAGTGGTTCATTACATAAGTTTTTATGATGTTTTGTCCGTTTATAACTATAAGTGATTAATGTCAAGGCAGTTATCACATAAATGCATAATAGTTGTTGTTTCGGATGAAAACAATCGAATCTCGGAAGATCCTTTTATCTTGAGGGAACTTGGTCTCGGTCCGAACGACGCAGGAGCCGAGGGTTTCCTGCATAACAAATACACGTGAACTAGCCTCGGGGGGGACGCCGAGGAAGGCCCCTCCGATGCTTAAGTCAGTATATTAGAGAGAGAAAGCTGTGCAAGAGTTTAGTTGCTTGAGGCTTTATTGTCTTACCAAGAATTGACCAAATTGTTGGCTTTTATACCTTGGCTAATGAAGGAGGCGGATTGGGCCCGGAAGTCAGTTGGGCTGGGCCAAGCTGATTGGGCCGTTGACTGACCTTGACATGGCTTTGAGGATGTTTGATTTTTGACTTTAGCACATTTGGAGAGTTGAACCTTAACCTTGGGCTTTTAATTGGATCATTCAGTGACCAGGCCCAATTGGACTAAATTGGACCCAAACAACTTGCCCCCCAGACCCGATTTGGAAGGATGACGGGTCGGGTTTGATTTAATCAGAAAAGGAGGGAAGTGAATGATTTGTTAATCCAAAAATGTGAATTTAAACCATAATTAACCCATGATTAATGAGATAACAACAGTTAATGTGGAGAATTGCGGAAGTTGGACGGGTAGTGGGCGATTTAACTGCAAGGTCGTGTGTTTAACGGTTACTTAGTGGGGTGCTTGAGAGAAATTGAAACGCAGACTCCTTGAGTTCCCATTTCTGGAGATATAAATAGAGGCGCGTCTTCTCTCCCCACTCATTCGTCAACACAAACCCAGAATTCTCAAGAACGCTCAAGAGCCCGCATCAAAACTTCGCAAATTCCCCGAGCATTAAGCTTAGAAGCTGAGACTTGTCACTACCAATTCGTAAATCGGCGACTTTTGCTTCAGATCAAAGGGTAGCCGAGGAAGAGCTAAAGCTTGCTAAGCTGAAGCAGGCAGCAGCTGAAGAGAAGCAGCAGAAGGCTGAGGAGTACGAGAAAAAGGCTGCTGAAGCCCTCCAGACCTTCTGCGACGCTATGGAGAAGGAAGTTTTTCCCCCACTGATGGAAGGGGAAAAATTCCTCCAAGAGCACCTGGGGGTGGACATCTCCATGTTCAAGGCTGCTATCGAGAGCCGAATCCAAGAAGGAGCTGCTGCACAGGCTGAAGTGCAGCATCAGCTAGAATCTCTTGAAGCCAGCAGAATGGCTGCTGAAGGGATGCTCCAAGCTAGGGATGTCCAACTCTCAAGGGCTGCTGCTGCTGCTGAAGCTCAAAGAGCTAAGCTACAAGAGGCTGAGGATCAGCTCACTGCCAAGAAGGAAGAAATGGTCCAAGTTCAGGCCGAGGCTTCCCAGGTTCAGCAAGAGTTTACCGAGCTGAAGGGTCTGCCTTCATGCTGAGCCGAAGCTGGACTGGTCCAAATGTGCTGAATGGGTCCAAGATCCCGAAGACCCTCACATGAAGTATGCCACTCCAATCGAAGCTGAAATCCTTAAGGCTGAGGAAGCCGAGGAATAAGCTGAGAGGATGGAGTTGGAGGCTGAGCAGAGGGAAAGGGAGGCTCGGCGAAGTGCAAAGCCTGCTTCTTCTGCTGCTGGAGCTGAGACCAACATTGGGCCCAATGAAGCTGATCAGTCTGATCCTCAGGCTGAAGCATAGGAACTCGGGCAGTTGTCTTCAGAATCTTGCGGTTCATCATGCGCTCAACTTTAGACTTGCAGCTTTCTGAATTTTTGCCTTTTGTTTTTTTTTGCTTCAGCTTGCCTTATCGTACAACAGCTTATTATATTTTTATTTTGCCTATACGTATTTCGGCAGCTGTTACTTTCCGCTTGTGGGCGGCTGCCGACTATTTTCTACATCTGTTTTTAAAGTACTGATTTCCCACCTGAGAGTTTTCACTCTAGAGATGGTACTCTTGTGACACTTTCTTCAATTCATCCAAGGGAACAACTATCCGAAACACCATGCCGGGGCAGCAGTTTATCTGAAGTACGAGGCATCATCATGCAATACTTCAGAGTTGCAACTACCACCCGGAACTGATTCATCCGAAGTACAAGGCATCACTATGCAATACTTCGGGGCTTTATCAGTTCCTATTTTTTAGGCTATGTTTCGGATAAGTCTATGGCCTTTTTGCCCAAAGGAACAGATTCTCCGAAGTACAAGGCATCACTATGCAATACTTCGGGCTTGTATCTTTTTTCGGCAGCTGTTACTTTCCGCTTGTGGGCGGCTGCCGACTATTTTTGTAATTCAACATTTTTATTTCAAAGAAGTTCACTTTCTCAGCTTTCTTGTGTATTTTTTTTTTCTTCGCTTTACCAGTCTTCGCACTTTACTGCTTTCTTTGAATGATCTTTCAAACATTTGCTAAGTGCAGAACTTCGGCTAGCGAGAATCATTTCTGCTGAGACTTCTTTTTGCCGTTTGTACTCGGATGTTTTCAACTTGTGAATAAACTGACATAAGTATCAAACTTCGGCTGAGCTGAAGGGTATTAGATCAGTTGTGCCATTAACTGACATAAGTATCAAACTTCGGCTGAGCTGAAGGGTATTAGATCAGTTGTGCCATTTCTCTATTTCCCTCTGCCCCCCCAGAAATCTGAAGATGAGGTCTTCTGAATTCTGGAATGGCTGATAATTTTTCTCGGCTAAGCCGAGGATCTTTGAACACTTTGCTTTATTTTCTACATCTGTTTTTAAAGTACTGATTTCCCACCTGAGAGTTTTCACTCTAGAGATGGTACTCTTGTGACACTTTCTTCAATTCATCCAAGGGAACAACTATCCGAAACACCATGCCGGGGCAGCAGTTTATCTGAAGTACGAGGCATCATCATGCAATACTTCAGAGTTGCAACTACCACCCGGAACTGATTCATCCGAAGTACAAGGCATCACTATGCAATACTTCGGGGCTTTATCAGTTCCTATTTTTTAGGCTATGTTTCGGATAAGTCTATGGCCTTTTTGCCCAAAGGAACATATTCTCCGAAGTACAAGGCATCACTATGCAATACTTCGGGCTTGTATCCTTTTTTGGCAGGTTTTACGGCCTGCCGAGGTACAAGGCATCATTATGCAATACCCCGGACAGCGCCGAATGAAACCTTGAATTTTTGAAAAACCGTAGAAAGCATAAAGACTAGATTGTACTATCCGAAGGATTTACACATAGTATTTTTTGAGCACATCGGCATTCCAATGGTTTTTCAGCTCGGTGCCATCCATTTGTTTGAGTCTGAAGGTACCGGGCTGAAGCTCTTGATAAATTTCATAAGGTCCCTCCCAAGATGCTGAGAGTTTGCCATGAATGCGACTTTTTTGAACAGCTGCAGCATTCCTCAGAACTAAATCCCCAACTCTGAGAGGTCGTTGATAGACTCTTCGGTTGTAGGACTTGCTCATTCTGAGCTTGTGTGCAGCCATCCTTTCTCGGGCTAGATCTCTAATCTCGTCAAGGAAGTCGAGGGACTCTTTCATGAGCTGCTCATTTTCCTCGGCTGAGAAGAGATTCACTCGTAGGCTTTCTGAGCCCACTTCCACTGGAAGCACTGCTTCGGATCCATACACCAGCTGAAAAGGTGAATGCCCCGTTGCCTCCTTCTCGGTTGTCCGGAGTGACCAGAGGGTTCCCGGAAGTTCCTCTACCCACTTGGACTTTTGATCCTCTACTCTTTTTCTGAGAGCGTTAAGGATCTGTTTATTTGCGGCTTCGGCTTGGCCATTACTCTGAGGGTGGCAAACCGCGGAGTAAGCCAATTTTATCCCGAATTGATCAGTGTATCGGCGCAAGGGCAGGTTGTCAAACTGTCTGCCGTGGTCGAACACAAAAACTTTTGGGATGCCGAACCGAGTTATTATGTTCTGCCAGATGAACTGTCTGACAGTTTGCTCAGATATGCTTGAAGCAGCTTCCGCTTCAATCCATTTGCTGAAATAGTCGATTCCGACTATCAGCCACTTTCTTTTGTATGGGGCCTCGGGAAAGGGTCCCAGAATATCCAACCCCCATTGTGCAAATGGAAGAGGATTAAGAATTGGCTGGAGATCTAGGCATGGCCGATGGATTACCGGTGCAAATTTTTGGCATTTCTCGCATTTTCTGACCATGTTCTTTGCATCCGAGATCATTGTAGGCCAAAAATACCCTGCCCTGAGAGCTTTGTGGGCTAAGGTTCTCCCTCCTATGTGGTTTCCGCAGATGCCGAGGTGAATCTCTCGGAGAATATAGTCGGCATCCGTTGGACCCACGCATTTCAATAATGGAGCGGAGAAGGATTTTCTGAGGAGTTGGCCGCCGAAGACGAGGAATCGTGAACTGATCCGCTTTATCTTGGAGGCCGAATTCCTATCCTCGGGGAGCTCGTCCCTGAGTTTATAAGCCAGGATGTCATCCATCCAGCTCGGCTCGAGTGCAGCGCAGCAGATTGATATTGCTTCGGCTACACTCTTTTCTCGGCGCACCTCCACATAGACAGAACGGCTTAACTCAGTCAGAGTTGAGCTTGCAAGTTTGGAGAGTGCGTCCGCTTGAGCATTTTGACCCCTTGGGATCAGCTCTACTTCGA